CATGCGAGATCTATCCGCGAGATTCGCACGTACCCCAAGCTCGCGGATATTTATCTTCACGAACCAGCCAATCGCTAGGCCATATTTTATTCCCGTAAAATAATAGGTGTATGCAGGACAGTGATTCGTGACGTGTTGTAAAGTGGAGATAAATAAATGATGTTTCTGTTTTTCTTCTCATAACTTATCAGTATCTATTTACCTATAAATGTAATAAATTTAGTATGTTTTATTGATGTATTGCTTAACATTCACTACTTTCAATTTCATTTTCACATTATGATTTTCATGTGAATAAATAGAGCAGTATTGCATATGTATTGCTCTTATACGTCAAGATAGGAAGTGAGATACATCTATACAGGGATTAATATTTTGCAAATACTCAGCGTAAATTTGATTTTACACGAACAATTTTTGAAAGGCGGGGGGGGGGGGGGGGTTCCAGGTCTGTGCCACAAACACTCATGCATAGAATCACACCACAGGCACTTCAAGCCTGTAGAAGCGGTTTTCTAAGGGGACAACCTTCAAAAAGAGTTGACAAGCAAAAAAAAAAAAAACACCTCGCTCTGAAATCCTATTTCGGGGGGGGGGGGGGGGGGGTCCTCTAACTATTCAGTACATTTTTTTCTTCCAAATACTTGAATTTGTGCATTTTTACCTTCCGGCAAAAAGAAATGGAGGGGGAATCCAAATCAAATACATATTAAAACTACAGCAAGATTATTCTCCGTAAAAGTGAGCCCCCTCACCCGGCATTATACGGGAACATTTTAAAATCTTCCTCTTCATTGAATAAAATATCTCAATAATAAAAGGAGAGAAATATCTTCTCTTATGCACACTCCCTTTCATAGCGTTTTATGTTTACATGTACTTCTTAAAGTTAGATACTTCAGAAGATTGTCCAAAAATTGCATAGCTAAAAGTCCGGCGGAATTCAAAGTGAAACCTACTTATCTATATTCCGCTAATGCACATATTCATGTATATTGTGCTTAATTTTTTTTTATCAGTGTACAATTATTTGTACAAGGGAGGTGCTGGTCAAGAAAACTTGGCAGAAACAATTCATACACAAGTAGTTTACAAGTACACATTTTACTCTTATTTACAATAACGTAACAGTAACGATTAAATAATTCTGAATTTTTTGAAACATATTTCAATTCCCTTTTTCTTCTTCTCTCAAATAATTTTTTTTTTTTTTTGCTTGTCATTTATTTTCTAATTTGACATCCCACTTGCACTTCATCTCACTCCTTATAATAAACAATGTCAAGGGTCATATATGTAAAATATGCATCTTGTTTCTGGAAACATATTTGAAATGTGTTGAAACCAGACCGCATCCTTTCTTTAAAAAAAACGTTACTTTTCACGTTTTTATGCAGGCGCATAAGAATTATCACGCGGGCTTTTTTAATGAAATAATTGACAGGAAGTTACAAAAATAAAGATTGATTGCTGCTACATATAGATATAAATATTGTATGTACCGACATGGGGATTCATTAAGGCCGGACATGTGCATTTGACGGATCAGCACATGAGTTCTATTTTGGATCCAGTTTACAGAGATATTTCTAATTATCTTAATGCTAAAATTCTAATGATATCTTTTTAAAGATAATTTTCCCGTTTCTTATTAAATGCATTTAACAAAACGACAGAAAATTAGGTCCATTATGCATAAAAAGCTTTCGATTTTTTTTATGATAAGCATTTTATATTGATTGCATGTATCTTCTATGACGTCAAAAATGACGTATAACGAGTAACGTCATGTACAACATACATGATCATAATATACACCCATGCTTTTTCCAAATACATACATGTATGATTTCAGAAAATGTCATTTTTAGATTTTTTACCACATTTAGTGTCTTAAAAACAAACAATCGACTGCTTTTCTATCACCTTGTGTCTTATCTATGGATCTTAAGTGTAATATGAACCACCCATTAGCATATTGGCTATTGAAATTACCGGATTTTTGAAAGCATCAAAATTCAAAAGTAATGTCAAATTTCGTATTTGTCAAAGCACAAACAACGCTAATAATTGACATAAAGATTTGTATTTGTGGTATTTATACATATAGTAAGTATGAAAGTTGTTCTTGCCTGTAACCCCATCTAACTTTGGGAAAAAAACCTGTTGATAAATGGGCATTTTAAACCCTTTTTAAAACCAGCATATATTCCAATCGTCTGATTTGCCTAATGACGCCTCATTTAACTTTTTTTTTACATGTGGGATATGAGTGCGTTTCCACTTACATTATCAATATATTTACACCTCATGAATCGATCATATTAGTTTGTGTAAAACACGAAGACACATATGATGGATCGTGGCCATAGCATTTTTCACACGCATTGAAATTTTATTTTATTTTTTTTCAACTTGAGCACACTCGTTACCACAAAATATTTTCACTGGAAAATGTTTCTCGAATAGTTATTATTCTTTTTCTGTTTTAATATTTTGCGGTAACGAGTAGGCTGCATGTGTAAATCACGATTAATTGTGTAAAATTTGGCACTTTCCCGGAAAATCTCGAACCACGGTGAGGTTTAGAATTTAGTTTGACATAATAAATATCCGGTTTTGACGGAAATATTGTACATGTGAAATGTGTTAATGTTCTAGGGTGAGAATTATCAAAAACATTCATTCTGAAGCCATTTTAAATTTTTTCATATTTACTAGGCCAAATAAGGCATATTGTGGGTCGAGTTCTTTTACTAGCTATAGTTTACTAAATATAAATTAAGTTTTAAAACAACATCTAATTGAATGAAGACTAAGACGTAATAGTTTGTAGAAAAATCAAATAATCTGACAAAACTGAATTGTAGGCGGCTCGAAAATATCTAGTCAAAACATTGATCAAATTTTCAACAAATAATTTTGATGACAATAAGGTATATTCAGATTTAGAATAAATATTTTTCATTTTTAGATTTCAGGCTGGAACGATGATTGATTTTATTGACACCTCTTTAAAAATAGCTGTTTGTAATCTATAAATTAGCATTAATTATTTTGTAACTACTAAATGATTTGATGTTAGATTTTCTGTTAAATTTTGGTTGACATCGTATTAATTCTTGTGTCAAAACATAAAATGAAATATATGGAGATAACGAACAGTATTCAAGCTCAAAAGTCCATTAAACAATACAAAATAGGAGCAGAGCAAACACGGACCTCCAAACATCAGAGGTAGGATCAGGTGCCATGATAATAATATGAAGCTTGAATTTTCTAGATAGTTTATTTATTGTATTGCTTCATTATTACAATTTCATAAATACACACGTATCTTTCAAATTGCCAATAAACTGAATCTGGTTTTAGCATTTCGAAAAGAACAACATTACCAATTCCAAATTTATGGTGATAGAACCATATCAGATGATTGAATTGAGAGTCGTCCTTATATTTTTTGCTGAAGAAACTGATATTCACCAGTTTTCTCTGTAATTGAAGAATACTGATATTCTTTAAAACTATGCACTTTTTTTTTTTTTGGAAGGAAATGTTAAACATAGGAAATAAGACATTTTATTAAGATGGACAGGATTATTCTGTGCATAAAGTGAACAAGTGTCAAACTCCTTTACACTGATCCATGGCACTTGATCCTATTCTGATTATTGTATTGTCATTGTACTATTCGAATAGTCAATCTGAAAGGTACACACCTTTAAAAAATTGAAAAGAAATACAATGTATATGGAGTTTTGAAATAATCATTCTTACATTTCTCTTTTTACAGATGGTCCAGAAAGTGTGATGATAAACCCACAACCTCTTAATGACACAATAACAATTAAAAATGGAGAACCATTTGGTCCGTACACCTGTTCAGCTGACTGTAATCCACCTTGTACCTTACAGTGGAAGTATAAACATCCCTCAGGAGATTTTGTAAATTATACACCCCATGGTATTTCTCCATTACTTTTACCAAAGCAAAACGCGGACAGAACTAGAATGACTCTGGTACGATGTGTAGCCAACAATAGCGAAGGGCGTAAGAAGCAAGGCATAAAGTTGAACATTCTGTGTAAGTTTATTGTATAATAACCAATTTCATTATTTATTGTGAATCAAAGAAAGAATATTTCGTAAATTGGTGGGATAGTAGAACATAGAAAACAATTCATACTTACAGAAACCCCCTTCCCGCCAAAAAATGACGGATTAGCAAACATTGTTTCTATTTTATTTTAACCGAAAACTATTTGTTGTACTTCAGTATTTTTATCTATCGTGAAATGTAATATTTAAAGATTAAGGGGGGAGGGTATATGTTGTCGCCCTATACATATTGTCGCCGGCGACATTATATATAATACTTACCCTCACTGCACATACAGCCACCCATCGATACACATGGGCCCCCGCTACAGTATGAACTGAGACAAGCCTTTTTATCAGGGCTGCAAAATGTACCTTACACATCGGTACATATTTATTGCGTATATTTGTATTTCTTCTCCCTTTTTCTTAGAGTTTATATAATTTACTGTAGTCGTTGAGAGAGAGAGAGAAGGAGAAATGCTACGCACTTTACTTTTTATTAATTTGTTTAATCATGCTATTTGCACCATTCAACCTCTTCACCGTGTATATTGTAAATGAAATATAAACATTTCATTGCAGCTCCTTCTGTGGAGTTTAAAATAACAATTTCACGTACAAAAAATATTGAATTATTGTCTTATACTTAAATGCAATTCTATGAAGACTGTATATATGATTTTTGATATCATCGACATGTTCAATATTATTAAAAGTCTTATTGTTACTCACGAGTTTCGAAATTTATAACAATCGTAAATATATTGAATTACTTGAACATTGTGAACGACAAAATAAATAATATCTAAATATTTTATAGACATATCTTTTTTTTTTAATTCCTTGTTTTTAAGGATTACATTGATGCTTTATGAACTTTTCTTTCAGATTCCATGGACCCTCAGGTGTACATTAATAAAAAAATTCAAAATTCCTCAATAATGAATGAAGACAAGCCTCTTAGTCTGACATGTCTCGTTCGGGGAAATCCCACCCCAAAAGTCACCCTCAAAAATCTCACTGGTGACAAGATCATTGGAGAAAACCCTTTATACTTCACTTTCAAAACAGTTGCAAAGTGTTCTGACACTGGCACTTACAGCTGTCAAGGAAAATCAACTGAGTTTGGAAGCAGGAATCAATCATTCCACATCAATGTTTCCTGTAAGATTGCATTGCCATTGCTTATGTACCGTAAACATTTAGCCATTTTACAATTCATTGAACAATAATCAGAAACAAATTAATCCAATTAATCCAAATTTAACCAAAAACCGTTCTGTTGTCATCAATAGTATCAACCTGGAAAATATGTAAATGTGTTAAAAGGTAGATCTTTTCATCGCTGCAAATCAGTATACATTGTATGACTGAATGAAATTACTTGTCTCAGATGTCGGCGATTAAAGGAGACAGTCGAGCTTCTCGACTTCAGCAGATCGATTCCTAGAAATATATAGGGTTTGTGCCGTTTCCTTTCTTTAAATTGATGTAAAGGAGATTGGTATCACATATTATAACTGGAGAATCAGATTTGTATCACATATTATCGACGTTATCGATGTAAAACTCTTAAACTCTTATAGGTATATTTGTAAATGTTTTAAAAGGTAGATTCATTTCATCGCTGCAGGTCGTTATATATTGTATGACTTAATGAAGACGCTTGCACCCGACGTCAGAGGTTTACGGAGAGAGCCGAGCTTTTCGACCTTTGCGAGTCCTAAAAGGATATAGTGTTTTGAGTCGTTTCATACTTATAGTTCATTAAAAAATAGATGAGGATGAGATAGGTATCATATATCATAATTACAGAATCGGATATACATCATAAATTATTATTTGCTGAGTACCAGATATGTATCATATATTATTATTCGGCATGAATGAGATAGTATCATATATTAGTATTGGGCTAGAATGAGCTTATTATAGGGTGATAAAAAAGATATGTATCATATTCAATGATAGCTTATATTCTATTTAATATGAAAAGAGGACGTGTTTTCGGGGTGGGGGAGGGGCTTTCTTTTTTCTAATGTTCTGAAAACACCGGGAGCTATCATTAATTACGTATTATGTAATGAAAGTAAATATAATTCATATTTTATATTACATCATATTTAGAAAATAGAAATTCTGATTTTATCATTTTTATGAAGATTTGTTTGATTCTCAGTAACAAATAAACTCAAAATAATCAAGCTTTTCTTTTAGGAGTTTATATTAATTTATATTACATATCAAAAAGCACAAAAGCAAATGTAAACGATTGGTTTATTATACGTTTCGTAAGAGTGGCTTGATATTTAGACTCGAATGTTCTAATTTACAAATATAAAACTAATCCTTTAGGTGCCCCCCGCCTCGATGACTCCATCTTATTCAAAAGCATATATGGTTCCAAGAGTGGCCCGAACGTTAACGTTGATGTAAGTTTGCCCGTTATTGCAAATCCCTTAACATCTACATCAGAGTTCAGTTGGTCAGGACCTACATCTGAGTCTATATCGATTAAAGTTTCACAAAGAGATAACGTTATCTACAAACACTGGATCAACAGCACCATCCCTGTTCCTACAAAAAGATCCTTTGGAAACTACACCCTGACGTACAAAGGAGAAGTCTTCGTTGAAATAACAATTAACGCCGAAGGTTGTATTAAGATTGCTTTTGTTCGAGTGACCTTACATTTTATTGCATTTATACTTATGCACGTGAAAGTCTTTAAAGCATGCGGAACTTTCAGCAAGGAATGTTTGTCCAGCCTTGGCATTAGTTTATGTAATTTAGGCTTAAAATGTAAGTTAGAGTTCAAATTCCTTAAAACAACACTCCTTATCTTCTGTTTGCTCAGTAAAGTTTGTGATGTTTTTTTCAAACCCTTTGAAGAGAATCAGTAAACGTGTGTGCGTGCGGCGGCACGTATTGTCATCCCTACATATATTGTCGTTCGGCAATCAGATTTTGGAACGCAGTTCGCAGTTCGCAATTCGCAATTCAAAAGTGAACTGCATTCCAGAACGCAGTTCGCAATTCAAAATTTAAACATAAGTCATGGGGTCTGAAATTTTGAGGGTAGGGTACTAGTGGTCAGTTACCACTTCTATGAAAAAATGGTGATGGTACCATCTCTAGTTTCCGAGATATAGAACTCCAGTTTTTAGGCCTACTATATAATACTATATGAATAAACATCGGGTTCGGGGACATCGAAGTCCCCTGTCCCGGGGTCTGAAATTTTGAGGGTAGGGTACTAGTGGTCAGTTACCACTTCTATGAAAAAATGGTGATGGTACCATCTCTAGTTTCCGAGATATAGAACTCCAGTTTTTAGGCCTACTATATAATACTATATGAATAAACATCGGGTTCGGGGACATCGAAGTCCCCTGTCCCGGGGTCTGAAATTTTGAGGGTAGGGTACTAGTGGTCAGTTACCACTTCTGTGAAAAAATGGTGATGGTACCATCTCTAGTTTCCGAGATATAGAACTCCAGTTTTTAGGCCTACTATATAATACTATATGAATAAACATCGGGTTCGGGGACATCGAAGTCCCCTGTCCCGGGGTCTGAAATTTTGAGGGTAGGGTACTAGTGGTCAGTTACCAATTCTATGAAAAAATGGTGATGGTACCATCTCTAGTTTCCGAGATATAGAACTCCATTTTTTTTGCCCACTATATAATACTATATGAATAAACATCGGGTTCGGGGACATCGAAGTCCCCTGTCCCGGGGTCTGAAATTTTGAGGGTAGGCTACTAGTGGTCAGTTACCACTTCTATGAAAAAATGGTGATGGTACCATCTCTAGTTTCCGAGATATAGAACTCCAGTTTTTAGACTTACAATATAATACTATATGAATAAACATCGGGTTCGGGGACATCGAAGTCCCCTGTCCCGGGGTCTGAAATTTTGAGGGTAGGCTACTAGTGGTCAGTTACCACTTCTGTGAAAAAATGGTGATGGTACCATCTCTAGTTTCCGAGATATAGAACTCCAGTTTTTAGGCCCACTATATAATACTATATGAATAAACATCGGGTTCGGGGACATCGAAGTCCCCTGTCCCGGGGTCTGAAATTTTGAAAGTAGGCTTCTAGTGGTCAGTTACCACTTCTGTGAAAAAATGGTGATGGTACCATCTCTAGTTTCCGAGATATAGAACTCCAGTTTTTAGGCCTACTATATAATACTATATGAATAAACATCGGGTTCGGGGACATTGAAGTCCCCTGTCCCGGGGTCTGAAATTTTGAGGGTAGGGTACTAGTGGTCAGTTACCACTTCTGTGAAAAAATGGTGATGGTACCATCTCTAGTTTCCGAGATATAGAACTCCAGTTTTTAGACTAACAATATAATACTATATGAATAAACATCGGGTTCGGGGACATCGAAGTCCCCTGTCCCGGGGTCTGAAATTTTGAGGGTAGGCTTCTAGTGGTCAGTTACCACTTCTGTGAAAAAATGGTGATGGTACCATCTCTAGTTTCCGAGATATAGAACTCCAGTTTTTAGGCCTACTATATAATACTATATGAATAAACATCGGGCTCGGGGACATCGAAGTCCCCTGTCCCGGGGTCTGAAATTTTGAGGGTTGGCTACTAGTGGTCAGTTACCACTTCTGTGAAAAAATGGTGATGGTACCATCTCTAGTTTCCGAGATATAGAACTCCAGTTTTTAGGCCTACTATATAATACTATATGAATAAACATCGGGCTCGGAGACATCGAAGTCCCCTGTCCCGGGGTCTGAAATTTTGAGGGTATGCTACTAGTGGTCAGTTACCACTTCTGTAAAAAAATGGTGATGGTACCATCTCTAGTTTCCGAGATATAGAACTCCAGTTTTTAGACTAACAATATAATACTATATGAATAAACATCGGACTCGGGGACATCGAAGTCCCCTGTCCCGGGGTCTGAAATTTTGAGGGTAGGCTTCCAGTGGTCAGTTACCACTTCTGAGAAAAAATGGTGATGGTACCATCTCTAGTTTCCGAGATATAGAACTCCAGTTTTTAGGCCTACTATATAATACTATATGAATAAACATCGGGTTCGGGGACATCGAAGTCCCCTGTCCCGGGGTCTGAAATTTTGAGGGTAGGGTACTAGTGGTCAGTTACCACTTCTATGAAAAAATGGTGATGGTACCATCTCTAGTTTCCGAGATATAGAACTCCAGTTTTTAGACTTACAATATAATACTATATGAATAAATATCGGGTTCGGGGACATCGAAGTCCCCTGTCCCGGGGTCTGAAATTTTGAGGGTAGGGTACTAGTGGTCAGTTACCACTTCTATGAAAAAATGGTGATGGTACCATCTCTAGTTTCCGAGATATAGAACTCCAGTTTTTAGATTTACAATATAATACTATATGAATAAACATCGGGTTTGGGGACATCGAAGTCCCCTGTCCCGGGGTCTGAAATTTTGAGGGTTGGCTACTAGTGGTCAGTTACCACTTCTGTGAAAAAATGGTGATGGTACCATCTCTAGTTTCCGAGATATAGAACTCCAGTTTTTAGGCCTACTATATAATACTATATGAATAAACATCGGGCTCGGAGACATCGAAGTCCCCTGTCCCGGGGTCTGAAATTTTGAGGGTAGGCTACTAGTGGTCAGTTACCACTTCTGTGAAAAAATGATGATGGTACCATCTCTAGTTTCCGAGATATAGAACTCCAGTTTTTAGGCCTACTATATGATACTATATGAATAAACATCGGGTTCGGGGACATCGAAGTCCCCTGTCCCGGGGTCTGAAATTTTGAGGGTAGGGTACTAGTGGTCAGTTACCACTTCTGTGAAAAAATGGTGATGGTACCATCTCTAGTTTCCGAGATATAGAACTCCAGTTCTTAGGCCTACTATATAATACTACATGAATAAACATCGGGTTCGGGGACATCGAAGTCCCCTGTCCCGGGGTCTGAAATTTTGAGAGTAGGGTACTAGTGGTCAGTTTCCACTTCTGTGAAAAAATGGTGATGGTACCATCTCTAGTTTCCGAGATATAGAACTCCAGTTTTTAGGCCTACTATATAATACTATATGAATAAACATCGGGTTCGGGGACATCGAAGTCCCCTGTTCCGGGGTCTGAAATTTTGAGGGTAGGGTACTAGTGGTCAGTTACCACTTCTGTGAAAAAATGGTGATGGTACCATCTCTAGTTTCCGAGATATAGAACTCCAGTTTTTAGGCCTACTATATAATACTATATGAATAAACATCGGGTTCGGGGACATCGAAGTCCCCTGTTCCGGGGTCTGAAATTTTGAGGGTAGGCTACTAGTGGTCAGTTACCACTTCTGTAAAAATATGGTGATGCTACGATCTCTTGTTTCCGAGATCCACCTCTCCACTCTTTATGGCTAATATATAATACTAAGTGAATAAACATCGGGCTCGGGGAAATCGAAGTCCCCTGTCCCGGGGTCTGAAATTTTGAGGGTAGGCTACTAGTGGTCAGTTACCACTTCTGTGAAAAAATGGTGATGGTACCATCTCTAGTTTCCGAGGTATAGAATTCCAGTTTTTAGACTTACAATATAATACTATATGAATAAACATCGGGCTCGGGGAAATCGAAGTCCCCTGTCTTGGGGTCTGAAATTTTGGGAGTGGGGTACTTGGGGTCAATTACCACTTCTGTGAAAATACGGTGATGGTACCATCTCTAGTTTTCGAGATCCACTCCTCCACTTTTTATGGCAACTTTATAAAAAGTGAATAAACATCGCGCTCGGGGACATCGAAGTCCCCTGCCCCGGGGTCTGAAATTTTAAGTACTCGTTTTAAACTGAAAGATATATTGGATTTATCAAATCTTTTCAAGAATTATTGGTCCATTGCAGGTTGAGCACAATATTTAACCCTTAATCTTGAGACATATCCAAGTTGTGTTGATTCCCTTTTTTAATCTTGTAATGGAGATGGCTAAAATTGAGATCAAATCTTATTACAAGTAAAAGAGAAAAAAAAACTCTTTTCCAGAACTTCAGTTCCAATATAGTCACGTTGATATCAAAGCATGCGCGCGTATGCTGTGTTGATTCAGATACCACTTCGAGTAAGGTCTATAATAATTACTGAATCACAGTTTTTCTTAAAAAAAAGAAAAGAGAAATTTCTTTTAAATAAAAGCGGGGCTAAAGTTTCTCAGGTTTGCATTTTGGCCCAGGTCCACCTGTGTTCTTCATTAGGAATTTTATGAAGCCAATTGACTTCCGACTTAGAACTTTTACAATAGGGATAAATTTAAGTGCTGGATACTATGAAACATATTCGAGACGCATTGGGTATTATTGTCAAAAAACCTTTATGAAAAACATGGTGATGCCGTCGTGTTTTACGATTTAAGATCTGACCTCGAATCTTGATCCTTTCGATAGGTCCCGCATTTTTTAAACATCATGCTCAGAAATATTGAAAAACCCGTAACATAGAGGATTGAAATTTTTAGTGGGGATCTAGTCGTCAAATTAAATTAACCACTTCCCGAAATATTTCTGGAACAGAGGCTCAAGGGTCCTAGGTCACCTGAGTATAATGTCACAATATAAAGGATCAGGAGATTGAACATGAAGTAAAACAAAGACGCCGATAAATAAAGCTATGTTGCCCCAAA